CTTTGTACGTGGGCGGACATCTCCTTGGTACTAGTATTGATATATACGACACAATTTTTTATTTCAAAAGAAACTGCATCATGATTTATATATCCGAAGTGCCTCTACTTCCACTGCGGAATTCTTTGGCAGTGAGTTTTCAATTATCACTTGTCAAGTAGGAATCGAAAATTCACTTCCAAAAAAACTCCTGGTGGGAATAGAGGTAATTCGAATACGAAACTTATGATGCAATTTTACATATCAAGATTTGTCCAATAATCTTGTGCTGAGATTGATGCTATTTAGCATTTGCCTAAAAGATGTTTGACAATAGAATTGACTGAAGCAAATATATTCTGGTTCTTGCAGAAAGAAGTACTGGAAACAACTTGGGAGCACTTGATGAGGGCTAACCGGATTCCTCCTCCACTCATTAAAGAAAGGCTCTGCATGAAGCTCGAGGATGGCGATCATATTTCCGCTATCTCATCCATACCCAATGATGTTCCTAAAGGTGATATGCATGCATTTTCGAAGACTGCATGGTTAGATTTACTGAAGGAAAACGCTCAACGCTTCGAAAAGGAAACTTTGCTTCGGTTAATTGAGGAATTAAATATCCTTGTAGCCGAAAACGAGTCCGGAAACCCGGTGTTGCAGAATTTGCTAAGATCCTGTATAGATTTTTCCAAGAATTGGTAGAAACTCCTTGTAAAGTTCCAATCTGGAAAGTAGCTTCAAAGTTTTTGGTGTTTTCTTCTTTTAATTTTTCTGAGTCTTCCTTTTTGACATTTTGGGAGAAGAAGAACAGCTCATATATATATATATATATATATATATATATTTCTTTCTACAAGACAATTTTTTTTGTTTTTTAATTCCTGAGTTTTAATTCTCACATGTTTACATAAAAATTCACCAAACCTTTCTTCACATAAACACAACCAACTCAAGAAGAAGTATCAATAGAAATTTTAGAGGATCCCAAATCTTTCTTCAAAGAAAAACATCCAATTGAATTTCATTCATGGAGAGATTAGTGATGGCAACGAATCGGATTTAGGGACATTCAACTCGAATCAATTAAGACAAGACGTGAGTAGATCAGTTCGTATCAATTCGATTTCAACTAAAAGATTAAAGATAGATTTTAGCGGACGAATTCGAGTTTACAGAACTAAGATTTCTTTCATCACTCTGTAGAAAAAGATCACACTTTTCATTTTCAACTCAATAATTTTATAATTATGGATAATTAGCCCTTAAACCTGACATGATGAACATGGCAACTCTTATTTAATCATAAGCAAAGAAGAACTTAATTAAAAAAAGCATTGAAATTTAGGGGAATAAGAGTGTAATATTTCAACTAGTTTTCAATTAAACTCATGGGTTA